TGTAGCACCATCCCTGGACATGTCCCAAAGGCTTCTGTCTCACAGAAACATCCCTCAAAATGATGCCATCTGCCTACTGAAGCCATATGTAATTGCCATATGTAAAGTAAAGATTTACATTGCCTGTCAACAGGTCACACCAGATTCCTTTCTTTTACTGCTGTATTTTCTCAGGTGCATTCTGGAAATCATCCTAGGAAGGCCCTTTGGCACCCAACAGCCAAGTGCTTTGGAAAAACACGATTCAGTTTATAGTCAAGAGCTCTTTCACCCAAGACCTCCCTGAGCAATTCTGCCCACAGTTAGCCTTGGCAGGCTTTCCTTTCCTGACTGCACAGCACAGGCTGCAAAAGACACCGCCTTCCTCAAGCAGGGAGCTGTTCACCTTCACAAACTGCTGCCCAGACGGCAGGAGTTAAGAATCACCACAGTCTCTGTGCAGTGCCCAGCCCTAGAGAGCTATCCAGGACCTGTGGGACCACGGTTCTCAAAAACAAGTACCAGTGCCCCTCAGTATTTGCAGAGATTTGTTCCAAGATCCCCCAAAATATCAAAACCCAAGGATGCTCAAAATCCCTTGCATATAATAGTATGGTATGTGTACAGAACCTACGCACATCCTCCAGTACACTAAAGTACACTAACATCACTACATCATTTACAATGTATAGCACTATGTACACACTATGTAAATAGTTTGTGCACTGTATTGATAAAGGAATGACAAGAAAACATCTGTACACATTCACTAAAGATACATTTTTTTTCTTCCAGAATATTTTTAACCCACACCTGGTTGAATCTGTGGATGTGGAAACCCTGGCAAGGGGGCCAGTTGTACGAGACATGAAACAAGCTGTGTGTAACTTCCAACCAGCAAGGAGTGAAAGGGTTTCCTGGGCTGCTGTGTAAGGATGGACAGGCAGCCGCAGCTTCAGTTAGATGCCCAAGTGCTGGAGCAACCAAACCTCTCAACCTTCTTGTTTACATCCGAGCACATCCCATTAAGCCCTGGGCACTTGGTTTGATTACTCCTTGCATCAAAGTTAAATTAAATTAGCCAACCATCTTCTTTTCAGGGAGCGACAAACACACAAGCTGACTCACCTTCCAGAAGCTATCCACTTTGCCATACACAAGGGACTGGTTCTGCCTTTTGATTTCATTAATGTGATGGATGTCGCTGGAGTTCAGGTGCTGCTCGACCACAAAGCCCAGAAAGCTGTTGTCCGGAGTGTGAGCTGATGTAGAAAACAAAGGACAGATCAGCAAGCAGCAGCAGCAACAGTTACAGATTTCATACAAGCCCCCTTACTCTCACTCATTTTACCCTCCTCCTCCTCGCCTGGGAGGGCTGATGTTGGCAACAGCGTCACAACAGAATAATTTTAGGATCCATGTTTAAGATGGATAAACCTTAACAAAGTCCTGCTCTTTTTAAGGAAAAATTTATCTGTCTAAAAATCACTGAGCAGTGCCCCCTCATTCCCCTTTCCTCAGCAAAAGGTTGGGTTTTGGGCAGACATTTCTTCAGCCAGCTTTCAACTTTTAAGAGCTAGAAGCCTACAATAGTCAGGGTTTGATCAGTGGTTCTGAACAGGAAAGGTCCACGCACAGTCCAATCTGGCTCCAGCTGGGTTTACTATCCACTGTGTTAAAGGAGGTTGGGGGCAAAAATTGAACAGTATCTGCCCAAAGTTTCATCTCTTCTGAGAATTATTAATAAAAGGTGTACAGTCGTGTGCTGCATAGCATTTCAGTCAGTGATGGCCAGCATGTATAATGGTGGTCCCAGAAGATTATCTGGCCTAGTGACATCACAGCTCTCTTTGCTTGTGTCCACACGTCTTACGACACTGGCACAATGATGTAATAACAGGACAATGCATTTCTCAGAACATGCCCCGTTAAGTGACATGGGACTATAATATAAGGGGCTATACTGAACAGGGTATGTAATGAAGGCAGGACAAAGCTAAAGCTCACGAGTGCAAAAGCCGTTCCAAAAAAAATACAACCACTACGAAAGAACAGTGCCTGCGGGGTAGACTATTTTGGAATAGAAAAAAGGAAATGTCTATTAACACTTTAGCGAGGGGGAGACAATCCTACTGCCTCTCCAAACATTTGTATCTCTTGCCTATAATGTTAAAAAAATTATCAACACGAGTTGCTATTATCAAAAAATAATTCTCTGTTGTTGATTAAACAGAGACCACTCTCTTTTCTATCTTTATTTCAGGCTTCTCCTGATGGGCCAGCAGAAGCCACATGTGGCCAGCGTGAAGGAACTGCCGTTTGGTCTGACCTGAACAGAACAGCTACAAATGATGATAAACCAAATTCCTCTTGGTAGTTCAGATACACTCAGGATTCTGTAAAACCCATATACTGCAGTCCCAACTACACCACTGACTCACAAGCAGGGAGGTGTATCCCTTTGTCTTGCTCTGGTTTTCTCAAGACAAAGGAGGCCTGGCCCAGGCTTGAAGGTGGCACCAGAGCCCCGAAAGCCCAGCAGAGGTGGCCTGGGGCACTGTGCTGTCACCATCCTGTCTCCCAGGCCTGTGCCTAATGGGGGTGACAGAACAAGGAGATAATAGGGCTGTGACTGGGGAGTTGTGTGCAGTCTGGCCAATCTGTTATTTCATTTCTGTGTTTTTGAACAGTTGCCCAGAGGCAAGGGCAAGGGCTGCAGTTGGCTGAAAAGTAAATTACTGAATAAATTCTCCTGCCAACAAGAGGCAACAGATGCCTTTTTTTTTTCTCCCTTTTCCTTTTTGAGGAAGTGACAGAAGAGGGGACTTAAGAGAGAAAGGGGGAGGGGTGCAAGAGAATCTGTGTGCTTCCTAAAGGTCACTCAGGCAACTAAAGAAGTCTCTTCCTAAAGCTTTTTTTTTTTTTCCTTCACTCTAAAAGTTCTGAACGAACATCCGATGCCCTAAATTTGGGAGCATTTCAGACTTTGGGATGCTTGCATATACATAAGCTATCTTGGGGGTGGGATTCCGGTATAAACCCAAAATTCATATTTGTTTCATATACAAATATACCTTGTATACACACCCTGAAGGGAGTTTCACACAAATATTTTTAGTGCTCCTGACTTTTGACTGTAACCCATCATATGAGGTCAGGTGTGCACTTTTCTACCCTGTGGTCTCAAGTCAGTCCATGTTTTGGACTAGGGATGTACAACTTACAATGTATATAGGAAATAATTCTCATTTTCCAGTGCAGGGCTTCTCAACCTTGGTGCTACCAATATTTTATGCTAGATAATTCTTTATACCAGATAGTAATGGTGGAGTCCTGTGCTTTATAAGATGTTTATGATATCTTTCCCTCCCTCCATGCAATGCCAGGGCTGCCATTATCCAGACATGACAACCAAAACTGTCTGTAGATATTACCAAATATCCCTCCAGAGGAGGAATAAAACTGTCGCCAGTTGAGAACTACTGTGTGAAACAAAGGATCTAGCTGTTCATAACAAAGATCATTATTTGGAATTAAATCAGCATCCCTAGAAACAAGCCAACTTCACTGACTTCATTCTTTTTGCTACAGTTAGCTTTGCAGAGCTGAAGGGTGGGGCACTGCCCTCCTTTCTGAAAAGGAGGTCAGAAAGGCGATTACAAGAACTCTTTACCCTGCACAGCCCTGTGTTCCTCTGTAGGGGAGACAGGATGACCACAGTTTATGGTTATCCTGGCAAGGATTTAATTCTGCTGTTTAGGATGAGGCATTTTTAGGTTCTGGAGACATTTGTTAGGTTGAGACAGGGTCTCATTATGTAGTGCAGGATGACTTTAAACTTACTATGTAGCCCATGGTGGCTACATGATTATTCTCCTCCTGCCTCAGCTTCCTGAGTGCTGGGATTACAGGCATGTAGCACCATCCCTGGACATGTCCCAAAGGCTTCTGTCTCACAGAAACATCCCTCAAAATGATGCCATCTGCCTACTGAAGCCATATGTAATTGCCATATGTAAAGTAAAGATTTACATTGCCTGTCAACAGGTCACACCAGATTCCTTTCTTTTACTGCTGTATTTTCTCAGGTGCATTCTGGAAATCATCCTAGGAAGGCCCTTTGGCACCCAACAGCCAAGTGCTTTGGAAAAACACGATTCAGTTTATAGTCAAGAGCTCTTTCACCCAAGACCTCCCTGAGCAATTCTGCCCACAGTTAGCCTTGGCAGGCTTTCCTTTCCTGACTGCACAGCACAGGCTGCAAAAGACACCGCCTTCCTCAAGCAGGGAGCTGTTCACCTTCACAAACTGCTGCCCAGACGGCAGGAGTTAAGAATCACCACAGTCTCTGTGCAGTGCCCAGCCCTAGAGAGCTATCCAGGACCTGTGGGACCACGGTTCTCAAAAACAAGTACCAGTGCCCCTCAGTATTTGCAGAGATTTGTTCCAAGATCCCCCAAAATATCAAAACCCAAGGATGCTCAAAATCCCTTGCATATAATAGTATGGTATGTGTACAGAACCTACGCACATCCTCCAGTACACTAAAGTACACTAACATCACTACATCATTTACAATGTATAGCACTATGTACACACTATGTAAATAGTTTGTGCACTGTATTGATAAAGGAATGACAAGAAAACATCTGTACACATTCACTAAAGATACATTTTTTTTCTTCCAGAATATTTTTAACCCACACCTGGTTGAATCTGTGGATGTGGAAACCCTGGCAAGGGGGCCAGTTGTACGAGACATGAAACAAGCTGTGTGTAACTTCCAACCAGCAAGGAGTGAAAGGGTTTCCTGGGCTGCTGTGTAAGGATGGACAGGCAGCCGCAGCTTCAGTTAGATGCCCAAGTGCTGGAGCAACCAAACCTCTCAACCTTCTTGTTTACATCCGAGCACATCCCATTAAGCCCTGGGCACTTGGTTTGATTACTCCTTGCATCAAAGTTAAATTAAATTAGCCAACCATCTTCTTTTCAGGGAGCGACAAACACACAAGCTGACTCACCTTCCAGAAGCTATCCACTTTGCCATACACAAGGGACTGGTTCTGCCTTTTGATTTCATTAATGTGATGGATGTCGCTGGAGTTCAGGTGCTGCTCGACCACAAAGCCCAGAAAGCTGTTGTCCGGAGTGTGAGCTGATGTAGAAAACAAAGGACAGATCAGCAAGCAGCAGCAGCAACAGTTACAGATTTCATACAAGCCCCCTTACTCTCACTCATTTTACCCTCCTCCTCCTCGCCTGGGAGGGCTGATGTTGGCAACAGCGTCACAACAGAATAATTTTAGGATCCATGTTTAAGATGGATAAACCTTAACAAAGTCCTGCTCTTTTTAAGGAAAAATTTATCTGTCTAAAAATCACTGAGCAGTGCCCCCTCATTCCCCTTTCCTCAGCAAAAGGTTGGGTTTTGGGCAGACATTTCTTCAGCCAGCTTTCAACTTTTAAGAGCTAGAAGCCTACAATAGTCAGGGTTTGATCAGTGGTTCTGAACAGGAAAGGTCCACGCACAGTCCAATCTGGCTCCAGCTGGGTTTACTATCCACTGTGTTAAAGGAGGTTGGGGGCAAAAATTGAACAGTATCTGCCCAAAGTTTCATCTCTTCTGAGAATTATTAATAAAAGGTGTACAGTCGTGTGCTGCATAGCATTTCAGTCAGTGATGGCCAGCATGTATAATGGTGGTCCCAGAAGATTATCTGGCCTAGTGACATCACAGCTCTCTTTGCTTGTGTCCACACGTCTTACGACACTGGCACAATGATGTAATAACAGGACAATGCATTTCTCAGAACATGCCCCGTTAAGTGACATGGGACTATAATATAAGGGGCTATACTGAACAGGGTATGGAATGAAGGCAGGACAAAGCTAAAGCTCACGAGTGCAAAAGCCGTTCCAAAAAAAATACAACCACTACGAAAGAACAGTGCCTGCGGGGTAGACTATTTTGGAATAGAAAAAAGGAAATGTCTATTAACACTTTAGCGAGGGGGAGACAATCCTACTGCCTCTCCAAACATTTGTATCTCTTGCCTATAATGTTAAAAAAATTATCAACACGAGTTGCTATTATCAAAAAATAATTCTCTGTTGTTGATTAAACAGAGACCACTCTCTTTTCTATCTTTATTTCAGGCTTCTCCTGATGGGCCAGCAGAAGCCACATGTGGCCAGCGTGAAGGAACTGCCGTTTGGTCTGACCTGAACAGAACAGCTACAAATGATGATAAACCAAATTCCTCTTGGTAGTTCAGATACACTCAGGATTCTGTAAAACCCATATACTGCAGTCCCAACTACACCACTGACTCACAAGCAGGGAGGTGTATCCCTTTGTCTTGCTCTGGTTTTCTCAAGACAAAGGAGGCCTGGCCCAGGCTTGAAGGTGGCACCAGAGCCCCGAAAGCCCAGCAGAGGTGGCCTGGGGCACTGTGCTGTCACCATCCTGTCTCCCAGGCCTGTGCCTAATGGGGGTGACAGAACAAGGAGATAATAGGGCTGTGACTGGGGAGTTGTGTGCAGTCTGGCCAATCTGTTATTTCATTTCTGTGTTTTTGAACAGTTGCCCAGAGGCAAGGGCAAGGGCTGCAGTTGGCTGAAAAGTAAATTACTGAATAAATTCTCCTGCCAACAAGAGGCAACAGATGCCTTTTTTTTTTCTCCCTTTTCCTTTTTGAGGAAGTGACAGAAGAGGGGACTTAAGAGAGAAAGGGGGAGGGGTGCAAGAGAATCTGTGTGCTTCCTAAAGGTCACTCAGGCAACTAAAGAAGTCTCTTCCTAAAGCTTTTTTTTTTTTTCCTTCACTCTAAAAGTTCTGAACGAACATCCGATGCCCTAAATTTGGGTGATTTTTTTTTTTTCCCAGAAAATTTTTGTAGTTCCATTCTTTTTTTGGTACTGGAGATCAAACTCAGCACCTTGCACTTGCAAGGCAGGTGGCAGAACCACTGGGCTAAATCCCTGGCCCTACTTCTATTCTTAAGACTTTTTTACCCCTGATAGTCAGTTACCTAGTTCGTATGTGGACAGTTAAAAACTCCAGTATATAAAATACTTAACGGGTCTTATTTCTTGTTATATTGTACTAAGGTGAAATCAAGAATCAAATGACCATTAAAACCCCACCCCTACAAATAATACATACACGTATAAATTTCTGTGTTAAAGATTCCCCAAGCTAATAGCTTGAACAATGACATGGGGTGGTGGGGAAACAATTTATTCCAAAAACTTGTGAGGAATGGTAAACTTTAGTTGTACAGTGACTGTAATTTGGTATTAAGTCAACTCTGACACTGTATAAAGAATAAATTACACATACACACTTTCCTTAAATTTTCACCTTTTTACTTTCTATCAAAACTCCTCTCTCCCACTACGCCATGCTAATTTGAGGAGCCAACAGTATACCTGTGGGACAGCACATGCTTATAATGGGCACCACCAGATTTAGTAAGCCCAGACCTGAGTATTAGTTTGGCCTCTCCAGGACTCTTTCCAGGTAACCCTGAATTTGTTCCTGGACATCAAATCTCAGCAATGTGCCAGTTTACTCAGTTTTGACTCATCCCAGCAGGTAATTTGGAGTAACCACAGGCCAGATGTGCCTCGCTTCCAAGGGGGTGACCAGAAGCTGATGCCTGCTTGGTAACATCTGCAGAGAGGACCCTGTTCTCAACACAAGTGTCTCCTCATGTTGCTTATAATTAATTGAAAGACACAAGCCCAGCTTGATGTGATCTAGAATGACCTTTCCATTGAGATCTGCCCCTCACCCCGAGTTTTCTTTTTCTCTGCCTTCAGATGAGAACACAAACTTTAATTGTGTTGTGAGGTTTCAGAGAGTAAATAGCTACTTTTCAAGATAAATCAAAGAAATCCTATCACAAATGAGATGCATTCATTCTGTACTTTCAGTAACTAGTCCATTCCAGAAGATAAACACAATTAAGAAAAACAGCAGATGTGAGTTCTGGCTGTCTTGAGTTCTATGCTAAGCATATTATAACAACTCTTTCACTTTTATCCTACAATAGCCCTATAATATGTTTATTGAAATAAGAAAACAGAATTATTTAAACCACTTGAGTCTATATGCTAGGAAAGAGAAATGCTGGGTTTTAGTGCTAGAATGGCTGGTTCCAATCTCTTCAAATCGCTCTAATTTACAGCCTCATATCCCACATATTTTATTTGCAGGACTCGAAACTACAGTGGTAAACCATGCTTCAGAGGAAAATAACACTGTAAGATAAACCAAACTAGACATTCGCATGCAAGTGAGCGTGCGCACACACGCACGCATGCACACACACACACACACACACACACTTACATATGCTAACAGTTTTCTGATCAATTTCTGTTGCTCTGATGTGGGACTGTGCTAAACTTTTTACATGCTACAAAGTACAGGAAATTTGCGGAACATTTACAGTGACCTTAATACAGTTTAGGGAAAACTTCTTATTAAGGAAAGCACTACTTTAAGCACTGGGGAAGCACCTGTCTATAAATTATTATAAACTGGCTTGATGCATTCCCAGAGCAGATCATGGTCATGCCTAGTCTGGGGAAATACTACTAAGAGATATACTTAAAAAGGAGTTAAGTCCTAATGTTCTACAGCATAGCAGGGTAACCAAAGTTGATAACAACTAGTTGTATATTTCAAAAATAGTCAAGAGGATTTTGAGTATTTCCCAACACAAGGAAATGAAAAACATTTGAAGAAAGAAATAATATCAGATGAGCCTGAGTAACCCATTCAATGCCAAACTTTTAGAGCACTTGCTCTGCAAACCAGGTTATATTCTAGTAACTGAGTGATTAAAATGTAAGAGATTTTGCCTCTCAGGAGCTTACCAATTACTTAATAAATGAAGTACACACTATACTACCAAGGAGTAATAATGTCTTCTTTAAAATATCATTCAAAATTTTTATTAAGTCAAAATAAAGTACCTTTATTTCAGTGGTATGAATTCCAACATGTTTTTATGACCAGTGAGTCCCAAACACCTCTAATCCTGTTTCATGGACAACCTCCATCTATCATCAAAGGCCAACACTGCACACTCAGCCTGAGCTCATTCTTCGGCCCTCACAGTTTCCAAGACTCAGGGCCCTTAGCTTTCCAAAATCTTCCCTCTTCTCCATCTTTCTTAGTTCAAGCCTCATCAGTTTTTTTTTTTAACCAAGATTTCTGCAATAAACAAGCTTTTGTTTCCCCTAAATATAAATGCTTTTATGGGCTTTCCTGATTATAACTGAAATATATTCTCAGTATAAAACTTTTTTCAGATAATAGAGGAAAATATAAGGAAAAAACATTATTCATCATCTTACCACCTAGAAATAAATAGCTACTATTAGTTGACTTTTCCCCCCAAGATTTATGGATCTTTTTATCCTCAAACTAACACTAGATCCTATTACATCTATTCTTTTTGTTTTTTTCCTTCAGTCCTAGGGATTGAACTCGGGCCCTTGTGCTTGCAAGGCAGGCACCGGAACCACTGAGCTAAATCCTCGGCCCTCTATTACATCTATTCTTGCAAACATCTTTCTGTACTTTCACAATATGCCACAGGTATCTTTCTTGAAAATAACCACAGCTCACCACTGCTTGTTAAAGAGGCACGATATGACGGTATGTCAAAGATAACCCATGGCTCTGGTTGGCGAGCATCCCTCTGGGGAAATGACCACACTTCTCTCAACTCTGCATGCTCGTGCAGGTGGCTGACAGGGTGCCAATCCTAATCCCCACCCTATTCTTGCCTCCAGGGATAGGCAACTAATTCAGAATAATCTGCCTAATGAAGGATCAGTTCAAAATCAGGTTCACAACCCAAGTTATGCCAAACATGGCTGCTCCATGACTAGTCAGAACCACTTTTGAAGTGAATGTCTGCCCCCTAAGCTGTTAGGGTGGGAGTCTAGAGCTGTAGGGGCTCCCTGAGTGCCCATATGTTATGGTTTGGATTTAAACTTTCTCCTCAAGGTCTCATTCATTCAGAGGTGGGACTCTGGGAAGGTGACTGGATCATGGATGCACTACAGTCATCAGTAGAAGAATCCACTCATGAGTTCATAGCCAAAATGTTCGGTCCAGAAGCAGGGCCTGGTTGG